GTAGTCCAAGGACAAGTGCCATGGTCTTCACAGAGGAAGCAGGGAGGAGATCCCCTCACTGGTTTTGGGAGGCCCATGAAGCCCCACGCGGAGCCTGAGTGTCAGGAAGGAAGCAGGGAGCACAGTGCCAGGTCGACGGCTTGCCTTGTCCCTGAACCCTTCTCCAGGGCACAAACACTGGCCAGAGGGACACAGGGAAAGTAATTTTAAAATCTTTTACCTGGAGCTCCTCCTCCCAGGGACCCGGAGGGCAGGTCTGGAGGGAGAGCAGCTGTGAGTGCTGTCCTGGTGCCTGCCCGAGCCGCTGAGCGAGCTGCTTCCTCCAGGTTAGTCCCAGGGAACAGGACCCTCCCCGGGGGTCCCAGCAGGATGTTGCACACAGATAATGTCTCCAGAGGCAATGGAGGTTAGAGTTCAACTGTACTGACAAGGCAGATCCCAGTGATCTCACTGCCCCCGTACTCCTTACTAGACAGGTGGGAGACCAACCTCCAGGGAGGCTGAGTCACTAGCTCAGGGCAGCGCATTCACACGTGGCTGAGCCGCAGATGGGACTCCACCATCAGACGCCACAGTCAGAGGGTCCTCGGAAGGGAGGGAGCTCAGAAGCCCAGCCCAGTCCTGTGAAAGACCTGCCTCCCACCCTATGGGGCCAGGACTCTCTCTCCTATGTGAGTACCAGCTCGGTCCCTCCAGCACCAACTCCAGCTGAACCCATCCAGCAGATCCTTCTGGACTGTTCTGCCCCGGGGCCTCCAGGCACTGGAAATGTGGGCACTGGTGCCCGCCTGCTCTGCCTCTCCCTCTCCCAGGTTTAGAATGTGCGAGAAAGCCCAGCCTCACCCTCAGGAGAAGGAGGCTATTTCCCGCCTATGCATTAGAAACCTTCCTAAAGGTGGTGGCAGAGTTAAGACAGTTTACAGAGGCTTTCTGGGCTCCAATAGTTTAGCAGAAAGAAGTGGCCCAAGGGTGATGCAAATGCAGACACATTCTGCTGTGTCTGAGTAGCAAGGTGGGCAGGGATCCCGACCCAGGATGGTGAGGGAGGCTGAAGAGTGGAGCAGAAGTAGGTGGTTTTTCTTTGAGTAGTCAGGAGGGCCCCAAGTGTAGGGCCAGGAGAGGGCCGAAGAGAGAGACAGAACAAACAATGGAGAGACTCAGGAAAACCACCTCCTGGCAGCTACTGAACTAGCTTTTAGCATTTATAGCATTTCCAGTTATATCCTACTGTGCATGACCCAGCATTTCCAAAAATAAAATGCAGAAAAGAGCCTGAGAAACATTCTGGAGGAATGACAGGGCCACCCCTCTGTTTGCAGCAGCCCCTCTAGGAAAAGCAGGACTACAGGGAGGGCTAATGGAGAGAGAGAGCCCGCACTGCACTGCATCCTCCAGATCCACAGGCATGAGGAGCAGAAGAGAGAAGGCTCCACGCTGTGCAGGGCGGCCAGAACCCAGCTTCCTGGACAGTCTCGGGAGGCTCACAAGTTCTATCAGGCAGGTGAGATGCTGAATCCTCTGGGAGGCAAGTACAGGTTTCCTGCACACAGAAATGCCCTGACTTATTCAACAATGGGCCCTTAGAGTTCCCTTAGCAATTACTGCCTCATCTTGCAGCTTCCTGCCTGGCTAGCCACTAATAATTTATTGCAAATAAGTTTCTTTGCTTCAATAACACAGCTGGTTTCTCTACCTCTGAATTCCCTACAGAGCTTAACACAGCTGGGCACCCAGCTGGTCCTCATTAAAATCCTTCTGGACCTGAATATCCCCACCTTTCTCTGCCTTCAACTCCATCCCTGCATTCTAGCAGCCAGCCCAGGAATGCACTCCCTTATCCTCACTTTCCTAAGGGTTGGATAGGCTGGTACCAACAAAGAAAGAGCAAGTCAGAGCCTCTGAGCCTGTAGATCTGACTGGCCCCCTGGCTGGAGCTCCTATAAGGTAAAAAGGGAATTGCTATTAGCAAACTCCCTAATTAGGGTCCTCTTTATCACACTCCTGTGAAAGATGCTCATTCGTAATATTGAAGTCAGACCGTGAATCTCATGGAGAACTGGAAATCTGTAAGACCTTTACCTAAGGATCTCTGAGAGAAGCCACTAACCTCCCAGGTTTTGGTCACCTCACCTATAAAAAGTATTACACTAGGCAGGTGACTAAGCCAGGTGATAAAGTTCTTTCCGATTCTATACTTGTGTGCAATATTGGACCCTCTCATTCATCCATGTGCAAAACAGTGACATAAACGGTCCTAGCTAGGGTTCACTTCAGGTTCTGCCACTTACTGGCTGGCTGGTCTTGGAAAGTCACTTAATCTTTCTGAACTAATTTTCTTGCCTGTAAAACAAGCACAATAATATCTTCACCATATAGATGTGAGCTTTAACTGCACTACCACATGTGAGCAGGGTTGGTAAAACTGTAAAGCAGTATTCAAATGTGATTAATATTACCAGGTCATATGACTATGATAAATAAAACCTCCCTTTAAGTGAGCAAATGCCTGTGGGTGACATCAGAAACACAGAAAAGGTCAGAGTTGATGGATCCGCTGGTAACTCCTCCCTGCCCAGGAGGATCAGCACCCTGAAAAGGAGGAACGCCTTTTGAGGTGAGCACTTCCAGAGTGGGGGGTAAATGATGATCTCGGCGGGAGCCTGGAGGTGTGGCCTCTGCGAACACAGGTCCAGGCTGTTTGTTAGCAGCCAGGGCCTCAGCTATGCTGCTTCTGCAGTTTGACAGCAGACTCCTAGCAGCCTCTTCCCTGGGTACTAAAGCGACAGTAAATTGAGGCCCTTATTTTTTAGTGCACTTCATGCAAAGGAAGCAGACCTTCCAGGAATGAATATTCATCTCTACTAACCCTTCCAAAAATGCTGATAAACTCATCAAAAGTTGTGTTACTGCTAAATGTTAACTGCATTTCTTTGGGTAGCACCAAAAAAATTCATCGCAGTTTTTAGAAACAAGATGCCAATTGCATTTCAGTTGCTGGAGCGGAGAGAGTTGGAGAAATGTAACCAGGAAAATGCTGAGAATAACCTCAGAAAGAAAACTCCCCAAGCCTGAAGGCTCAGCTCTGAAACAAGCGCGAGACCCAAGAGGGACAGATGGGGCTTGTGGGGAAGCCAGATCTCCCTCAGAGAACGTCCGCCTGTGTTTCTCTGATTTGCTGCATCTTAGCACCTAGGTGGCGGGGCTTTTTGTTGCAAATCATGACATGCAGATTTAACAAATGTAAAGAATTAAACTAATAAGTACAGGAGTTAGTCCCAGAGCTTTAAGAAACATGCACAATGTGAAAGGAAAACTGTAATTCTACCCCTTGTTGTGAAAGTGTATGTGTGTGAAATAGAGAGAGAGAGAGAATGGACCGTGACCATACATCACATTGCTTTAATAAAAGAATTCTTTGGACCAGTTCACAGAACTGTCATTTAAAACCAAAACCCTATTCCAACACCAACCACAGTGCTCTTGCACTGGCCCAACTCCCACCCCTATGCCAGCAAGGCCAGCCAGAGCCAGCTAAGAACAGGAAGTGAGACCAACTGTGGGGAGTGGGGAGGATCCTGACTCCATGGGCTTCATCTGGGCTGGCCCTCCCTGACCCCATCTTTCCAGGAGCCTCTGGAGCCACTGGCTCCTCTAGGGAGGCACTCTCCCCGCCCCCACCCCACCTGAGAGCACAGAAAGAACACAGGCCCAGAGTATCCCTGCATATCCTCCCGGAAGATGGGCTCAGGGGCTGAGAAGGGGAGAGGGCAGAGGCAGCCTCCCAGCTGCTCCCAGCATCCTCTTTCCCTCCAGCTCCTCCCCCACATCCCAGGGCTTCCCCAGGGTCCCAACCCTGCCCAGCTTCCTTCTCATCATTGGAGCCCTCTGGTAACATAGAGGATCTAGAAACCAGGGCCCAAGGGGGAGGCTGTAGGGCCCAGAGGCTGGCTGGTGGTGGTAATTGTCTCATGTGCAGTGATGGGAAATCCGTGACTTCTGCACCGGGGTCTGCTGCTCCTCCTCCATCTAGTGGACCTGCCGGAGACCCCAGGAAACATGAGGCTGCTATGCAGTAAGAAGGAGAAGCCAGCAGGACCAGGGGAGCGAGTTCTGAGCTCACAGAGAAAGGAACCAGATCCTCAGGGTGACCCTACCATGCACTAGTCAACTTTCATTTTAGTAAATCACTTAACCACTCAGAACTTTCATTTCTACTTCTATCAAATGGGGCTAAAAATATTCACTTCTCTAGGTCTTTTGTAAGGTTGGAATGGGAAGGTGGATGCCTGCGTCCCCCGGAATCCATAAAGTGTATTATCCACCAACCACTCCAGGCCCAACCTCGCAGAAGACGCTTTTCCTTATCACACCCTGCACTTATAAAGCAATGGATACAAATAACATAGTTTAACACATTATATCCCTTGGACCTCCTACCGGACAGTGGAAGTTGAGTGGCTTGCCTAGCGCCATACAAGAATTAATTAGCGGCCAAACCCAAATTGCTAAATGCTGAGTTCTCTCTGCGATGTAAGGACTGCAGGCCCTAGTGACTGCCTTAGAAACCAGGGGGTGAGTGACAGTCACAAATACACCCATAAATAGCAGGAGGGTCACTCACTCTAACCTGGCACTGTGCAGGCCTTGTTCAGGTCTTACCTCATTTAATTGCCACGATAGCAGGTAAGGTCACCATGACAGTTATTACTAGGCAGCTGAGGTTTACCAAGTTAAGAACTCACCAAAGGTCACACAGCAGATGGCAGATCTGGGCTACAACACAAGCTCAGGTCTAATCTTCCCCAGCCAATGCTTAAATGGATAGAAACCCAATGGATTCAACGTAATGTGCATCATTTCTCCTTCCTCTTACTCTGGAGAACATTCCCTAGGCCCTCCCTAGCCCCCAGCTAGGCCCAGGCCTAAGGGTCAAGGGTCACAGTTTCTGAGGGGCAGGTCCTTTACAAACCTCCCTTCCCCAACCTGGCCCCCATACTCACCCATGCCGTGTCATGGATCCAGTCCAAAAACTCAGCAACTTTGGCGTAGACACTGGGGTGCTTGGGCTCTGCGCAGCCTCGGCCCCAGCTGACCACCCCCACAAAGCGCCATGCGCCCCCATCTGGGCAAACCAGGGGGCCCCCACTGTTCCCCTGAGGGTCCAGGCACAAAGACCAGAGAAATGGGCAGTTAGTCCTTTCAGGAGGAGGGGCACCAGACCTTCCCAGAAAGCAGACCCCCCCATTCTGGCCCCTCCTGCTTCCAGCACGGATCCTGTCTTGTCTCAGCCCTCCTAGAGAGGCTGCTCAGACCAGGGCCGTGTCCTGCAGTGTGTCCAAGCTGTGGGCTGCGGGAGGCAGACATGGAGATGAAGGGACACACAGCAAGGCCACAGAGTACAAAGCAAGGCCCAGGATGACAGAACAGCAAGAGAATGGGTGGCTAGAGGCCTCAGAGACAGAGTCCCAAAGAGAAGAGCTCAGGGTGAGAGCTGCGGACCGTGGGCAAGGAGGCAAGGGTCTGTCAGACGTGGAGGCTGGGAGTAAAGAGCAGGAGTGGAACTCGCTCACATATACACCCCGAATACTGAGGCCTTGGCACTCCTGGAACACAGGGAATAAGAGCAAAGGGCCTGCAATTAGGAGAAACTCAGGGGTTGTTCTTTCAGAAAGACCCACACAGGGCAGATGGGGGGCCCTTGGTTTGGCCAAAGGAGGTATCAGAGAAAACGTGGGCTGGCACTGCCCTGTGGCCGGGGTGGGTGGAGGCACCTCACCTGGGCAAGGAGGTCACCCCCACACCCGCACACCCCTTTTGCACCCAGGGCCCTGGGGACTGACTCACTGTGGCTGGGGTCGGTGTGGCCCCAGCCAGACACCCAGCACTGCGAGCCCCTCGGAAAATCCTGCTCCTCCGCAGGCAGGCACACAGCGCCCACTGTGTCTTCAAGAAGGGGCCCAGCAGGCAGATGGGCAGGTGGATAAGGAACCCCACCGCCAGACCCAGCTGAGCCTTTCTATGGGGCTCTTCCACAGGCAGGGTGGGGTGGGGTGGGAGAGACTCCTTCCTCCCACCACTACCTTCCTAAATCCAAGATGTGACTCACCAGAGCACTTGAGGGAAACGATTTGGCCAGAAGTGCAGCTGTCTCTGCAAAACAGAGGCACCAACCAGAAACCAGGCAGAGGCCCATGTGAGGCTGAGCACCCACCCAAAAGCGTGGAGGAAGGGTGGGGTCAGAGGGGACCTCTCATGTAGTTATAGCCATTTGCTGCCCACCCTCACCCAAGCCCCAACCCCTTCTCCTAACAGGTCTCCAGGTTGGCAGTGTGCACACTGCTCGATTGCCCAAGAGCACCGACAGAACTCTGTGGTCCTGGAGGACTGCTGTGGGGGACTGCTGTGGGCAGGGCCCAAGGTTACAACCAAGTAGTCACAAATACGAAAGCCCTGCTGTTCCCCCTAAGGGACCCCTGAGTATGGTGTGCAGTGGATGAATGATTAAGCACGTGGTGAGTGAATGGGCCCTATCATAAACCTCAGTTCCTTTTGGACCAAAATTCTCTTCTCTTTCCTCACTCATCTCTTACTGCCAGCAGCTCAATGCCTGGATCCTTAGCTTCTTCGAGTTTCCCCAACCCAGAGCCCTCCTCCCTTGGTGGAGTCAGTCCCACCCCTACGTCCCTTTGCCTATTCAGGTGTAGAAAATAAAGAAGCATTCGGAAAAGGTGGTACGAGGCTTTAGAGTGGTGAGCGATGCTCGGCCAGCCAGCCCAGGAAGCTGCTGGACAGCTAGAGGAAGCCCAAACTGAGTGAAGACCTTCTCAGCCTGTGCTCACCCCCGGGATTTGGTGAAGGGTCTGCTCCATTCCAGAGCCCTCTTCTCTAGAGGGTCTCCAGGCTCCAAGCAGTTCTTAGCTAGAGCAAGTCAACCATCTTCCCTGAGACACCCGTTATCCAAATGAAATGTGGCAGGGATGAGAGAGCACTCGGATTGGAGACAGGAGCCCGATTTCAAGACTTGGTTTGGCTGCTTACTAGTTCTGTGACCTTGGACAAGGCCCTTTACCTTATGAAGCTGTAGCATCCTGTAGTTCTCGTGAGGGGCAAGTAAAATAATGTATGTGAAACTTGGATGAGCAGGCTCATGGAACTGAGTCTGTAATCTCTGACTGTTCCCCTTTGACCTATCTTACACAATCAATGTCTTTGTCACCAGGCTCCCATGACAGGGAGATTTTTGCTGGACTGCTCACCAGGAAGTCAGGGACCCCAGTCAGCCTCCCCAGAAGCCCCACCTGGGCTGCCACCACTCCCCCAGGAGGCCTCCCAGTCTAGGAGAAAGCTGAGCAAACTCCTGGGAGCTGTTGTGCTTGACGTCGGACAGGTTCACTCCTTTGTGGTGAGTGAGTCTTGGCAGAAAGAAGAGAACAGAGCAGGAGGAAGTCAGCCTCAAACTGCAGCATGAGGGGCAGGGGTTCATAGCAGCAAAGAGCTGATACACTACACCAGGATGGAGACAGAGCAAAGCTGTGACAACAAACTCTTCTGGGATTTATGTTTGTTAAAAAGCAGAGATGCTCAAGGGAGAGACACAGGCTGGACCACCAATGTGCCCAGAGGCCCAGAGATGACCAAAATGACCTCTTGCCATTTCCTGAGCACTGTGAACACCACAGACAAATAGAGGTCTCCAACTGCTAGCCAGCTCCCCACACGCCCCAGGCCCCAGATGAGCAGCACTTACCTGAGATGCCAAAGTCTCCGGCAGACCCGCACCCCCGGGCAGAGCTCCGGCCCTCACAGCAGACCAGGAGCCAGCCTGGCCGGGCCTTCACTTGCACTTCCAGCAAGAAGTCCTCAGTGTTTATTCTGAAAGATACTGAATCATGGCATAAAAGCCACATCGCCCCTGCCATGAGGTGGAGGTGCAGGGTGGGCAGGGGCAGCTGGACCTGGCCGCTGTCCATCTGAATGGGCCTTACTGATAGTGTCTGGGCCACCCAGTGTCAGGCTCCCTGCTCCCCAGGGTATCAGGTCAGTTCTGAGAACAAAACAGCCCTATTTCTGCAGCATTTCAACTTTCTTTTTAATGTGTTCCATCACTCAGTGTCACGACAGCCCTGTGGGATGAGTATCACCATCCTCCCCATCTGCAAAGGGAAAACCAAGGCACAGAGCTTAAGTGACCTGCCTAAGGTTACAGAATATGAGACTGATGGATCCAGAATCAACTCCATGCCTTCTGATTTCAAGTGTTGTGACAATACTAGTGATGGTTACCATTTATGCGGCATCTGTTTTTTTTCCAGGCTTTGTGCTAAGCTATTTTATTTTTTTTTAAAATATTTTATTTATTTATTTTTCGAGAGAGGGGAAGGGAAGGAGAAAGAGTGGGAGAGAAATATCAATGTATGGTTGCCTCTCATGCGTCCTCTGCTGGGAACTGGCCTGCAACCCAGGCATGTGCCCTGACTGGGAATCGAACCTCGATACTCTGGTTCGCAGGCCCGCGCTCAATCCACTGAGCTACGCCAGCCAGGGCTAAGCTATTTTATTTATTAGCTCATATTATCTTTACAACTTCATGTAGTAAATATTTTTGTCTCCATTTCATAGAGAAGGAACTGGAAGCTCAAAGGAAATAATGTGCCCAAAGTCACACAGCTACCAAAAGGCAGGCTCCAAGCTAATTCTGTCTCCTATGACTGCTTCTGACCCCAGCCTCAGCAGCACGACCCCTGCTGGGCCTTAGCTCTCACCTGGAGAGGACAATGCTGGGGCAAAGCAGTAGACAACAGGTAGTGATGCTCCCAGCCCTCTAGGTGGCCACTGGACGAAGGCCCCTGTCTGTCACACGCCGTCTCCCCACACACCTGGCTCATCTTCCCCTCCACTTCTGGCTCACTCTGACCAAAATGTCAAGTTGCTCTCTAGCCAGCAACTTGGCTCCAGGCCATGTCCCAGCCAGAGATCAAGACAGGCCCAGGGGAGTGCTGAAAGCCCCAAATCATAGATCAGCTCTGCACATCGGGACTGTGTCACCACCCTCACACCAGAGAAGATACGAATGAGTGGCAGGAGGACCTTCATTTTGGTCCTCTTGCCCCCAGCCAGAAGGGGAGTCCCAGAGCTGTGAAGGGCCCGGGGCTGGGGTGGGAGTCCTGTAGCCTTGGAGTGTGGCCCACCTGTTCTGGGAAGTGAGGGGAGCAGGGCTTCCTCCCTGTGGGCCTCTGAGCAGCTCAAAGTCATCTCCTCATCCTGCAAGGTCCCAGGAATGGGTTGAGAGGCAGCTGGCCACAGATACAGCCCTTCAGAGGACAAGAACAAGGAGAGGGTCATAGAGAAGGGAGGTATTCCCACAGGAGGGGGTGGGGGGCACAACAAGACATTTGTGGCTGCGGAGGCAAGCAGCTGCCCCGGGGACTCCTCAACCACCCTGCCCTCGCAGGTTCCCACCTAACATGCTGACGAGAGGTACGGTGCCCTCTGTCTCTGTCTCTGTCTGCCTGGGAAAGATTTCTAGAAACAGTTGGAGCAGGGCCCCCCCGGACCACTCGTTCCAGTACCCTGCACCCAGGGCACATGAGAGAGATGCTTATCTGCCTGCCCTAACACATGCTCACACCTGCTCCTTCCTCCCAACACTCCCAGACCCTGCACTCGGTCCCTCTCCAGACCATACGAGGGTTCAGCACTGACCTAGAAGCCATGAGCCAACACTCACACCAGCCTGCACCCCCCAGTGCTCCCAGCGCCTCCCAGCCACACCTCCTGGAACACCAGCGCCCTGTCCAAGAGACCGTGGGGGAGGGCACAGCAGTGTCTGGGTCCCCAGCTCCTGCTGGCCTGCCTCACTTCACCCTGAGGTACCACAGGGCTAGGCAGTCACTGAGCTGCGGCAGGAGTGGGAGTTTGTCCCACTGCACCTGCCCACCTCCCGCCACCCCACGACCCCTGAAGCCCCCAGAGCCCACTCAATCCCCAAAATGGGAAATAGAGAGCAAAATCCAGTCTGGGATAAATGTCCACCCCAGACAGCAAGATGGCCTCTTGCCGTTATCATCTGGGGCTGACTCAATGAAGATCTGGGGATTCTGGGGAGGTGTAGGAAGATCATCCCTTCACGGCCCCCGCCCTGTCACTCCTCTGCGGCCCAGTCTGGCCTACTGGGTGGCTGTTGGGTGTCAGGCCTCTGCCGTGAGTCTCCCAGCTCTGCTCTGAAGATCCTGGGGTCTGGGCCCTCCTCCGTGCACCCAGCTTCCGTGGAGGCTTGGCCACTCAGAATCAGGCTCTGGGGAGACAGTTAACAGTCACTCAAGACCCCCACACCCAGGAGAGTCACCTTCTAACCTCAACTACACCTTCGCTGCTCCTGGCAAGCCTTTTTTCTCCTTGGGGACTTCCTGTGTGTTGCTACAGATGCCCCTCCAAGCCCTCTCTGCTCTCCTTAGAGCCCAACCCTACCCACCTTACTTTCACACGGCCAGGAAGTGTTGGGCGGAGACTTGATCCAGACCAGCAGAGACCAAAGTTTACACCACCCCAGAGAGCATGAAGGGCATCTGCTGACTCCCTCAGCTCCCTCCTCAGGCCTCAAGATCCCATCCTTCTTCTTTCCCTTCTCTCTCATAGGAAGAAGGGCCCCTCCCCAGTGCATCAGCCATCCATTCACTCAGTGAACAGTATTGAGCCCAGGTGAACAGGCCATGACGGGGGATATTGTAAGGAGGTCAAGAACAAGTAACATGAACCTCCAGCACAACTGCCTAAAAGAATTTGCGTCTCACTCCTGAAGATGAGTCATGTAAACAAAGCAGTGCACGTGGAGTGACAGAAGTAAAGTTTAGGTAAACCACCACTGGCATTCAGAGAAGGGGCACCTACTTTTCTTGGGGGTGACCAAAAAAGGCCTCCTAGAAGAGGCAGCCTCTGACACAGGCCATCAGAATGACTAGGGTTTTACCTGATATATATGGGCATTGGGTATTTCAAGAAAAGAGAGGAGAATAAAGTCAACTGCTGTAAAAAAACAAAACCAGTAGTTTGGCCACACAAGGCCCCCTCTAGCATGTAGCCCCTGTACCACAGCTGCCTACCAAAGGAGGCTCATTCTGCCAGCCAAGAACTCCAAGAGGGGTGTGGGGGGTGCAGGTGGGGAAGAAGGAGCGAGAGGCCAGATCAGGGATGGTGCAGAGGTATAGTCTTACCATACTGGTGAGCGGTAAAGACCAAAAAGCCTCAAGTTCTGCTAGGAAAGGTTCTGGTCCTGTTCTTGCATCAGCACTTATTAAACAGCTCAGCCAGCTTGGCTGGAGGGTGAGGTCTCCCTAGTTCACACAACGGCTCCTCCCTTTATCCCCCTCCACACACATGCACACAGACCCAAGCCAGAGAAACAATGAACTCTGCTCAGAAGCCATGAATAGACCCCTTGTTGCAGGAAAGGGGACCGAGGGCTGGCCTGGGCTGGTCAGGCTCAGTCCCTCCCATCTGCTAACTGGAAGCTTAGAAACAGAAAAAGGTTAGAGGGAGGAGAAGAGGCCAGCTACTGTTGCTTAGCAACCAGGTACCTGTGCCAAAAAATGTACCCTATGCAAGCTAGCAAAATTCCCCCTTCCTGCTGACAGGGTTGTATTGGAGAAGCCGATATTAGCATTTGCTGAAATGTTTTTGAGCTGTCTGGATTACCTCTCCCTTCTCTGGGGGCTGGCTTTCCCAGAGGTCTGGGGTTGTCACCATGTTGGAGTTGGGATTATGATAGATATCTTTGTCACCTGGGCTGTACCTGCCACCCCCAAGGCCAAGAAAATAGAGCTTCCCAGCCCTGGTACGCTAAGGGCCAGTTACTGTAGAAGCCCTTAGTGCTAGGTTGCTTCAAAGCACAAGGTGGCTCAGCTGAGCCCAGGGTGAGCAGAACACACCTGGGAGCCGCATCCTTCAGTCAAGGAGGCAGAACAAGTTCCAGGGAAGGGAAAGGCTGGTGTGGATCCTCCTTCTCTAACTGCCTCACAGAACCTCAAATGGGACAGTTAAGAATATGGGCTTTGGAGCCAGGCCTTCATCCAACCCCAGTTCTGCCACTCCCTTACTTAGCCACAGCTGTAAAGATAGAAAAATAGTATCTACCTCATAGGGTTGATGTTGGAATTAAATGAGATATTGAATAAGAAGTTCTTAGCCTTGGGGTGATCATTTCGTAAGGTATATAAATGTCTAATCACTATGTTGTACACCTGAAACATAATATTATATGTCAACTATAATTAAAAAATAAAGTTCTAAAGATACTACAAGATACTTAAAAATAAAAATCAAAAAGACCCCAAAGAACAAAAGCAATCTTGAAAAAAAAATAAAGCTGGAGACTTCATACTCCCTGACTTCTGACTATAATATATTACAAAACTACAGTAATCAAGTCAGTATCATACTGTCATGAAAACATACACTTAGATCAATTAAACAGAATAGAGACCCCAGAAATAAATCCATGGCCAATTAATGTATGACAAAGAAGCCAAGACTATACAACGGGGAAAGGAAAGCCTACTTAATAAATGGTGTTGGAAAAACTGGACAGCTCTATGCAAAAGAATAAAAGTGGGCCCCCATTTTATACCGTACACAAAAATCAACGCAAAGTGGATTAAAGACTCACATTTAAGATATGAAACTAAAAAACTCCTAGAACAAAACACAGGGGTAAGCACCATCATTTCCATCTTGGCACCAAAAGCAAAAGCAACAAAAGCAGAAACAAACAAGCAAAAAGAAAAAATAAACAAACAAATAAAAAAGTTTCTGCACAGCAAAGGAAACCATCAACGACATAATAAAAGCATATATGGAATGGGAGAAAATATTTGCAAGTAATATATCTGATAAGGGGTTAATATACAAAATATATAAAGAAGTCATAAAACTCAATAGCAAAAAATAACACTAATCCAATTTAAAATTGACAAAGTATCTAAATAGACATTTTTCCAAAGATGTACACATGGCCAACAGGTACATGAAAGGTGCTCAAAACTTAATGTGCTCACCCTCCCCAAAAGATAAATATGTGAAGTGATGAGTGTGTCAATGAGCAAGATGGGAAGAATCCTTTCACGATGTATACAGATAACAAATTATGATGTATACATTAAATATTTTACAATTTTATTTGTCAATTATGCCTTAATAAACCTGATTTTTAAAAAGGTTTTATTTTTAGAGAGAGGGGAAGGGAAGGAGAAAGAGAGGGAGAGAAACATCAATGTGTGGTTGCATCTTGTGTGCTCCATATTGGGGATCTGGCCTGAAAACCAAGGCATGTGGCCTGACTGGGAATTGAACCAACAACCCTTTGGTTCACAGGCCAGCACTCAATCCACTGAGCTTTATCAGCCAGGGTGGATTTTTAAAAAAGAATATATTCTAGGTAAATTGGTACTGGCCTCTTTGTGGCCATCCTTCTCTGCCTGGCTAACCAAGAAGTCTATCCTCAGCCTGGCTGGTGTAGCTCAGTGGATTGAGCACGGGCCTGCGAACCATACAATCGCGGTTCGATTCCCAGTCAGGGCACATGCCTGGGTTGCAGGCTGGTTCCCTGCAGGCCACTTCCCAGCAGGGGACGCACGAAGGGCAACGATACATTGATGTTTCTCTTCCTCTTTCCTTCCCTTCCCCTCTAAAGATAAATAAATAAAATCTTAAAATAAAATAAAATAAAATAATTACTCTTAAAAAAAAAAAAAGGAAGTCTATCCTCTTTTTCTGCTATTCCTTCCATCCCAAATTAACTATTCTGGGTTTCCCTGGCTATCTCCCTAGTTTGAACAAAATACTCACCTCTAGATTGGGGCAGCAGGAGCCTAGGGTGCAAAATTTAGGGAGGCATTCTCTGGTAAGGGGAAGGTTGACTCGTGAATACCCTAAGAGTGATGCCTTCTTAAATTTATGCCCTTCCCTTCCCATCTGTAAGTGTTCTGTGTCAAACCAACTGAAGCACACACCCTCTGAATGGGGGCCCCAGGGTCTGCATTTTTACCCTGGTGATTCAGATGGAGACCCACACCCCAGTCCTGGCCCTGCTCCCTACTTCCTCCCCATTGACAACTCCCTGACTCTCCAGGACCATATCTACAGATGAGCCTTCACTGATGAGCCTTGAAATTCTTGCTTTCTCTCCTCCTTCAGTCACTACTTTGAAAACAAGGTTCTTTCACCTGACCAGGTAGCTGAGTTGGTTAGAGAGTCACCCCAATATGCCAAGGTTTGATCTCCCAAGGTCAGGGCACACACAAGAATCAACCAATGAAAGCATACATATGTGGAACAACAACTCAGTGTTTATGTTTCTCTTTATCTCTCTCCCTCCCTCCCTCCCCTTCCCAAATCAATACATAAAAATGAAAAACGAATGAAAACAAGAGCCTTTCTCGACTGTCCTTCAGAGGGTCCTGGCGCCTTCACGCAGATTGCACCGTTGTCTCTCCTCTGCCCAAGTGGAAATAACCAAGCTCGATTACAGAAACTCTCAGACTTACAAAGTTTGTTGAAAGAAGCCATTAAATCTATCACCTCTCCTACGAGAGGAGAAAACTAAAGCTTTCTAAAAGGTGACTGTGCCCCAGAACATTGGAGGCCGGCCAAGCCCAGGTCTCCTGACATTTGGTCCAGGGTCTCCCCCAACTTCCACCACACTCACATGCCCCACAAGTCCTGTGTTCATGAAACCAGCAGGCTCAAAGTGAAGAAATGCCACGCGTGGACCCCAGACAACTCTGGAAGTATCTAGAGTTCCATCCTACTCATGAGCTTACCTTCCCGTCTGACAGGAGATGACAGCTTCCACCTTGTGTGTGGATGTCAGCCTGCCTGTGATCTTCTCCCCCTGCCTGCCCTGTGGATGTCAGACTTGCTTAGATAGTCCCTGCAATCACTCTCTCTTCATCCCCAGTCTGGAAGGTTGGTGCTCCAGGTGGAGGTGATGAAAACATGCACAGGGTGAGATACAGGAAGAACATCCCGGACAACTCTGTACACCCAGCCCCATCCCAGTCCCCTCTTTGGCTTCATCTCTGTCAGCTATGTTTCCCTCTTTCTCATCAAGTGTCTACCTGTAGTACCATCCACCTTCATTTACAAACCCCCCAGCTCCCCTCAAACAACCTGCCCCCACTCCAAGTTTGAATCATCCCTCTGAGGTTAGTTCAAGCCATGAGACCAACTACTGAATCTCACAGCCTAAGGAGGCCTAACCATATCCCTTCCCATCCAGCCCTTGGAAGAGTAGTTTTCTCAATAAAGAAAGGAACCTATTTGAAGGTTTAATCATTAGAAACTCTTCCCCAATAAAACTGGTGTTCAAAAAAAAAAAAAAGAAATGAATGATTCCTAAGTCTAATTATGAGAGAAGCTTTAATGAGTGAAAAGTGGGAAATGCTAGATCCAGTTAACTTATTTCAGAGCATTACTGTGTATCAGTGGTCACCGGAGAAACCTCAAGCGTCTGTTGTCATTGTGCTTGCTTTGAATACAAAGAAATAAATAAAAGCACATTCAGAAGAAAAATAAAAGCTGTGTGGTCTGATGCAGTAATCGGCTGCTTATCATTAGCATACTGCCTCCTCAGCAGTCTCCTGTCTTGCTAGTAGACCCAAGTCTAGAATCGGAGACACCTGCACAAGTATGACGGCCGCCTCCTCAGAAGGCTCCCAGAGGGCCTGCAGGCGGCTCCCACGCGGTCTTCTCCCCTCACTCCCACTTCTCCCCAGCAAGACCCCACAGCTAGAAGTTTGACCTTTCCTCGGTAAATAGGAATCTTGCGTATGTTGGAGACATGCCTGCTCCCAACTCCTCACCTCCTACCCAGTCGTTCAAACTGGATCTCCCGTATCTAGCCCCCCTTCCAACCCCCACTGCTGCCACTCTAACCATCCACCAGCATCTTCCCCAGAAGCACTGCAGCAGCCACCTGTCTATTCTGTTCTAATCCGTCTGTACCCTCACTCCTTGGAAGCAAATCCAGGTACTATCCAGAAGGATAAAATAAATGAAAATGGCCCTTTCTCTTTTCCACTCTGCTGCCAAAGTAACATTTCCTAGAGAAATCTAAATATATCAAAAATCTTCCACAGCTACCTATAACTCCCAAGATAAAAGCAATTTTTCATTTGCTAATTTACTGGTTCCTACCAAGTGCCAGGCAGTGTTCTAGACTCTGGAGTTACATCAATGAACAAGTCAGGCAGAACTGCTGGCCTGAAGGAGCTTACAATTTAGCTCTGTCATGCCAACAATTAGCTATGATGGGGGAAGACCAGGGTGTGATGGGAGCTCCTAACTTGCTCTCAGGGTGTCCTAAGCATAGCACAGAAGGTTCTTTCCAAGTTTACCCAATATACTTTTCTAGCCTCATCTTTTTCTATTCCCTTTAACACCTGTCCCATAAACCAGTCACTAGCCAGTCAGGATATTCTGTCCCTAGAATATCCTAGAAGAACCCACTGTATGTATTTTTCTTTGTTTGTGCTCTTCCCTATTCCCAAAATGCCTCTCCCCCTTAACCATTAATTGTCTGAGTCCATCAGTCAGCCAATATATATTTATTGAGAATGTGCTACTTGCCAGGCACTATGCAAACACTGAAGCTACAGTGCTGAGAAAAACCAGACACTATCCCTACCCCAAAGAGCTTCCCACTTAGTGGGAAGAGAGACATGTATGAATCAAAGGACCACATAACGTGC